GATAAATATGAGTAATAAAGTTTTCAGTTATTTTACAAAATCTAACTAATAAAAGAACAAGTTTTTTTACAACTAATTAAAATAAAGTTTATTTTTTAAATCGTTTTCGTTTTGATGAAGCAGTACTTTCTGGTATTTCATCATCGGATGAGTCGTAATCTTCATCAATATTTGATTGATCATCAGTTGTACAATTTATTATTTTCTTTTTCTTGATCATTGTACAACTCTTAGATTTCATATGTTTATAATAATTACTTAAAGAAAAATTTTGACGAAATTTTGTAAGATGTACCTTTGCACGACATGAACACAAAATACAAGCTTCTTCAGATGAGCCATTAGTAATAAATAAAATTTTAAAATCTTCATTTTCTATTAAAGACGTATTTCTAATGTTCAGTTCCATATAATGCTTCTCGAACCATTCATTCAATGTGCGTATAATGAAATCATGATGGTTTATTTCATTCATCACATCTAAATTAAGATCAAAATTAAAATTGATTTATCTAAGTTCTGTTTATTTCGTGGATTTCATTATTGAACTCAAAAATAGTAAATCAAATTCAAGTTTTAAGGGTTTTGCAGTATTCTTTAGTTTTTCAAATTGCAAGTATCTTGCAATTTGTAAAAGACAATTAATATTTCGGGAATTTGATTACAGATACCCTAAATTGCTTTGTGAATTTAAACGAATAAAAAATAACCAGAAAATCTTAATGATTCTTCAAGAATTTTATTCGTAATGTATATGACGATTTTAAAAGCATATAAATTAATGTTCGACAAAACGAGTTCGATAATTTACATTTCCGAGTTTGTCCATCGTAAAACTGTTCCTAGTAAAGGCTTACAACTAGTTCTAGATAAAATCTTCACTTTTTTTATACGGTAAACAATGATGTAGGTTTTTTGTCTTTTATACTATGTCTATTTAGCAGCAATCTGATCCTTCGATAATAGAACAAAAATCCAAGTTAAATTAAAGCTAACCTGATGTTCCTGCATGCTGTTGATGAGTAGCAGATGTTGGAGAAACTTCAGATGAATCTTGTGATAGATTTAAACCAGTATCATTATTTTGTGATAATTATGATTGTTTATTTCCTTTGGATTTACGTGTAGTTTTTTTCAAATGTTCGTCATGTTTTTGAGAGAGGAGTTGATATAAGTATCGAACATTACTTCGACAACCTGGTTTAACTATAAAGGTATTATCATCAGCTTCGAAGCAGATTGATTTTTTAATGTTGTTTAAAGTAGAACATTGAATAGAAAGAATATGGAAGGCATCTTCTGTATTGAGAAAAGAATATACACTTCGTATGCCTTGAGCTTCTAACAACTTTGCTTCGGCTGGTCCTACTATAATTTCGACCATCTGATAAAAATTATCATCATAAAAAGTAAGTACATCGGTTGGTAACACGGATGTATCAACAGAGATTAATTGGAAAGGCATTCCTGGACAATCAATTCGAAATGAAAAGAATTACAATCAATATTTAAAAATAATGAACTTAGATTAAATATGTTGAAAATAAAATGAGAAAGTGCTGCTCTTCTACACGATTATATCCAAAGAATAAAATCATTCTAGGCCCACTTTCTATTCATCGATGATGTTTGATATTCATCATGCTGAAGAATGCAACTGCTGTAACTCTTCTTTCATTGAGTTTTCGTTTTACTTTTTTTCAATAGATTGAAGCTCAAGTAAATTACTAACTGTACAAGGAACAGCAACTGTTGTTCAATATTTCTTTTACATACTGCGACAATACTTCTACACCTTGATTTAGGAACCATC